GGCTGCTCAGTTCGAAGTGTTTAAGCAAGAGATGCAACACCATTCTGATGCAAAAACTGATCGAGAAACAATCGCCTGAGAGAACCAGAGAACAACTTAGACCACCAAGAGATGAAGCGGCTGAGTCATAATACAGCCGAGATAGCAGTTCTTCTAGGAGTCATCACCGACGCCAAAGACGAGCCCGAGACGAGCCTATACCTCTCCAAGACGGACAAGAAGGAATCAAGTTGCGAATTCCCTCGTTTCATGGGAAAAATGATCCGGACGCTTACTTAGAATGGGAGAAGAAGATCGAATTGGTCTTTAACTGTCAACATTACACCGAGATTAACTGAGTAAAAGTCGCGGCCACCGAGTTCTACGACTACGCCTTAAGCTGGTGGGATCAATTGGTTACTTCTAGAAGACGAAATGGAGAATACCCTGTTGAGAGTTGGCAAGAAATGAAAACTATCATGAGGAAGCGGTTTGTGCCGAGCCATTATCATAGGGAATTGCATCAGAGGATCAGAAGATTGGCTCATGGCAACCGATCAGTGGAAGAATACTATCAAGAAATGGAAACCATTATGTTAAAAGCTGATATCACCAAAGATAGAGAGGCCACAATGTCAAGGTTTCTAGGTGGCTTAAACCGAGATATACAGGATCGGCTTGAGATGCAGCATTACGTGGAGATTGAGGAAATGTTACATAAGGCCATCCTTATCGAGCAACAGCTCAAGCGGAAGCCTGTGACAAAACCAAACTATGGAGCTGTTTCTACAACTCCTAGACCAAGTTACCTAAAGGAGGAGAATCTCAGTTCTTACCAGAGAGACGGAAAGCAGATTGTGGTACCAAAGTCTGAAATTAAGCCGTTCATGACTCAACAAGAAGGCAAAGGCAAAACCGAAGCCTCCACAAGTCGATCTAGAGATGTAAAGTGTTTCAAGTGCCAAGGCCGGGGTCATTACGCCAATGAGTGCTCTAATAAAAGAGTCATGACTCTCAAAGATGATGGAGAGATCGAGTATGAGGAAGAAAGTCTAAAACATGAACTTATGACCGAGTATGAGGAGATGCCGGCTCAGGGTTCACTACCAGTTGCCCGAAGATCTCTAAGTATTCAGTCAAAATCAGAAGAGCAGGAGCATAGAGAGAACCTATTCCACACTCGATGCCTTGTTCAAGGGAAAGTATGCAGTCTTATCATCGATGGGGGCAGTTGTACTAACGTCGCAAGTGAAGCTATGGTTAAGAAGTTAGGCTTAAGTGTTAAGAAGCATCCGAGACCATACAGGCTTCAATGGCTTAATGAGAATGAAGAACTGAAAGTGAATAGCCAAGTCTCAGTCCCTATAACCATCGGACGCTACCAAGATGAAATCCTTTGTGACGTGCTACCTATGGAGGCTGGACATATCCTTCTTGGCCGACCATGGCAATCTGATAGACGGGTGATACATGATGGTTTCACTAATAAGCACTCGTTTGTTTTTAATGGCAGGAAAACAACTCTGGTGCCTCTAACCCCCCAAGAAGTGTATCAAGATCAGCGTCAGCTCAAACAAATGGAGAAACTATCGACCAAATCATCGAACTTTTTCTTAAAAGCTGGTGATGTTGCAAGAGCCTTGATATCCAAGCAACCGGTTTTATTATTTGTTTTTAAGAAATCTCTTGTTAGTATCACTAACATTACACCGGTGCTACCGAGTGAAATGAATGATCTGTTGCAAGCTTATAAGGATGTGTTCCCGGAGGATAACCCCAAAGAGTTGCCACCAATTAGAGGCATTGAACATCAAATAGATTTCATCCCCGGAGCTTCATTACCCAATCGACCTGCCTACAGAACCAACCCGGTAGAAACCAAGGAGCTACAAAGACAAGTGAATGAGCTCATTGAGAAAGGCCACATCAGAGAGAGCATGAGCCCTTGTGCTGTGCCCGTGTTACTTGTGCCTAAAAAGGATGGGAGCTGGCGCATGTGTGTTGATTGCCGAGCAATTAACAACATAACGGTTAAGTATAGGCATCCAATTCCTAGGTTAGACAACATGTTAGATGAGTTGCATGGGTCTAGCATCTTCTCTAAAACTGATCTTAAGAGTGGATATCATCAAATTAGGATGAAAGAGGGAGATGAGTGGAAAACTGCTTTTAAGACTAAGCATGGCCTATACGAATGGTTAGTCATGCCTTTTGGTTTGACTAACACACCTAGCATCGTTATGAGATTCATGTTCTTAGGGCGTTTATAGGTGTATTTGTGGTCGTTTACTTTGATGACATATTGGTCTATAGTAAGAGTCTAAGCGATCATGTTTTGCATTTGAAATCTGTCTTAGATGTGCTTAGGAAGGAAAAATTGTATGCCAATCTTAAGAAATGCACATTCTGCACAGATAGCTTGGTATTTTTAGGCTTTGTTGTAAGCGCAGATGGAATCAAGGTCGACGAAGAGAAGGTAAAAGCGATTAAAGAATGGCCGAGTCCTAAGACCGTGAGTGAAGTAAGGAGCTTTCACGACTAGGCCGGATTTTATAGAAGGTTTGTGAGGGACTTTAGCACCATTGCTGCTCCACTCATTGAGATAATCAAGAAAGAAGTTGGATTCAAGTGGGAACAAGCACAAGAAGACGCATTCCGAGCCTTAAAGGATAAGCTTACTAATGATCCCCTCTTAATTCTACCTGATTTCCTTAAAACGTTTGAAATCAAATGTGATGCCTCTGGTATAGGTATTGGTGCTGTTTTGATGCAGGATCGAAAGCCCATTGCCTTCTTCAGTGAGAAACTTGGAGGCGCCACACTCAACTACCCTACATATGACCAAGAACTCTATGCCCTGGTCCGAGCCTTGCAAACATGGCAACACTATCTTTGGTCCAAGGAGTTCGTCATACATATGGATCATGAGTCTCTTAAGCATCTAAAAGGGCAGAAAAAGCTCAACAAGAGACACGCAAGGTGGGTAGAATTCATAGAAACATTTCCCTACGTGATCAAGTACAAACAAGGTAAAGACAATGTAGTTGCCGATGCATTGTCTCGAAGGTATGCCTAGATCTCTACTCTTGATGCTAAGCTTATAGTATTTGAACTGCTCAAACACATATACGCATCAGATTCTGACTTTGGAGAGAAATACCAATCCTGTGAAAAGTTTGCCAAAGATCATTACTTCAGGCAAGATGATTTCCTCTTTTATGATAATTGCCTATGCATTCCTAACTGCTCTATTCGAGATCTTTTAGTCAGGGAAGCACACAGCGGAGGTCTAATGGGTTATTTTGGTATTACCAAGACTTTGAAAGTGATGCAAGATCACTTCTACTGGCCTCACATGAAGAGAGATGTAGAGAGAATCTGCGAGAGATGTGCAACTTGTAAACAGGCTAAGTCTAAGGTTAAGCCTCACGGTTTGTACTCTCCATTACCTATTCCTTCTCACCCCTGGGTTGATATCTCTATGGATTTTGTACTTGGTTTGCCTAGGACTAGAACAGGAAAGGATTCCATATTCGTTGTTGTGGATAGATTCTCAAAGATGGCTCATTTCATTGCATGTAATAAAACCGATGATGCATCTCATGTAGCCAATCTGTTCTTTAAGGAAGTAATTCGTTTACATGGCATGCCTAGGACCATTGTTTCTGATCGTGATACTAAGTTTCTTAGTTATTTTTGGAAAACATTATGGTCTAAGCTAGGAACTAAGCTTCTGTTCTCTACCACATGTCATCCACAAACTGATGGGCAAACTGAAGTAGTCCATAGAACTCTGTCTACTTTACTGTGTGCATTTGTTAAGAAAAATCTTAAGTCGTGGGAAGAATGTTTGCCTCAGGTTGAATTCGCATATAATCATTTGATGCACACTGCCTCTAAATTTTCACCATTTGAGATTGTCTATGGCTTTAATCCTATAACTCCTTTGGATCTAACCCCCATTCCTTTGAGTGAAAGAGCTAGTATTGATGGGCAAAAGAAGGCCGAGCTAGTGAAGCAGATCCATGAGAAAGCCAGGAAAAATATAGAGGAAAAGACTAGGCTCTATGCGGAACAAGCCAACAAGAAACGGCAAGAGATGATCTTTGAAGTTGGTGACCAAGTCTGGGTTCACTTAAGGAAAGAAAGGTTCCCAGCTGAAAGGAGGTCAAAACTTATGCCGAGGGTTGATGGACCGTTCAAGATCATCAAGAAGATTCATAACAATGCTTACCAACTAGATCTCCGAGGTAAGTACAATATTAGTCCTAGTTTCAATGTTGCTGACTTAGCTCCCTTCTGTGCAGATGATCCAGATTTGAGGTCTAATCTTTTTCAAGAAGAGGGGGATAATATGATTCTGGAAGGCAAGTAGCCGAGGAACAAGAGATTGTAGCTGATCAAGAAGATCTTTTAAGCGTTCCTAGAGGTCCAATGACTCGATCAAGGACTACGAAGCTCAAGCAAATCATTGGAGCTATCATCAAAGGCCGATCACAAGCACCCTGATTGTGATCCAAGTCCAAGACGGCTAAGTGGGCTTGAGATCCAGGCTTGTACTCTTTTTCCCTATCTCAAGTTTTGTCCCGCTGGGTTTTCTTGAGATAGGTTTTTAATAAGGCAAGAATGGATCTCTATTTCGCCTAAGTCCACAAAGCCTTAAGCCCAAGCTGTTTCAACAAGAGGAGCGTCTAAAATCAAGTTCAAACTTGACAGCTTGTTCTTTGTTTATTCCCGAGATGATTTAATGTTTGTGAAGACTCATTTCTTCTTTCTTTCTTCTTTATATTCGCTTGAACTCCTTTGTAACAAACCATCTTATCTTTTATTCTAAAACTCTTTTTTAAAGATTAAGATCTCGTTTGTTGGTGCGTCATATCCTTCAAACAACTTGAATCGACTTTGTGTGTGTCATATCACTTAGAAGATTCAAGCAGGCGTATCAAGAGTGTTCTGCGACTCTTGTGTGTGTCCTATCGTTTCCCGAACCCCTTGGAACAGTCTCTGATTGTTTACAAGGTCTATCTCATCAAGTTCCAGTCATTAGAGTGACGATCAAGGGCAGATCCTTACCAGGATCACATCAAACGTGCTCATCAACATTTTTCTGGACGTGGTGGTTATCTCTAAGCCTATCTAAACCTTGCAAGTGTCTATTGTTATCTTCCATCTCTAATTTTTGTGCGTGTGTGTGTTTTTTTTAATTAATTAATTAATTAATATATATATATATATATCTTTTTTTCGTTTTTTTAGTTTATATATATAATTTAAAAAAATAATTTTGATTAAAGAGGACATAAAAATTCAACACAACACTCTGACTTTATTCCAAACACTCTGACTTTAATTCAAATTCATTTTTCATATGAGAATGCTTGTTAAATGAATTAAATGGTTAATAAAACTTGAATCACCTGCTTGTTAATTTATTTTTTTCAACTGAGAATTTGATCTTGATTAAGATAATTAGCAGAGTAATTAGCATCATGAGAATGAGTTAGTTAAGTGTTCTAGACCTAAGGAAAAATGATGATTTATGTGTTTGAAAGGTCTTAGATTATCCTTCATAACAATGAAAGTCAATAACCACATCCAAGAGCTTGTCTTTTATGATTTGCATTAATCGTGTTTAATTGTTGCTTAAGTTGTTAGCTTTGTTATCTTGTTGAACTTGAATCAATTAATCATTAGTTTGAATCTCAATATCTTAATTGAATTCTATGTAATGATCAATAAAGTCAGTTTGATTTGCTATCTACACGTTCTAGTACCAATGTAATCTATATTTAATTTGGGCTTAAATTGAATTGACCAACTTATTATTTGAATTAGAGAGTTTGCATTCTAGGTTAGTAGACTTTTCCCAATTAGATTGATTACCTTAATGTATTGCAATGATATAAGTGTACTTAAGGAATTGATCTCAGTATTAAATATAATCCACTTTATCAAGAAGACATGTTTTTTTTTTTAATTAATAGTGTGACAATAGGTACTATAAGAAGTTAACGATACAAAAGTAGCAGTAATCTAAAGCGCCTGAGAGTCGATCACTTATTCATGCACTCCATCATTTCTTCTATGTATGGGTATTCACTGTTAAAGTAGAAAAATCGTATGTTAGATAATATGACCTTTTATATTATAATACTATATGTCTTCTTCAAATACTTATAATTTACATTCTTCAGAAGATACTGTTTTGAATATTTTACACTTATAAATTATATTTTTCAGCCAAATATAACGATTTATTTTAAAGAGAATAAAACTTTCATATAAAATCATATCAACAAACGTCATGTTTATTGTATTTCTAAAATCTAAAGGCTAAACTATATTGTTGATGATTAATAACAATTTTTATATTTTGCAAATAAGATTCTATTATTTTTATTATTAAAAACATGTATTAACGTTGTACTGTAAAAGTGAGTCTATATTTTTAATATTATAGAAAATTGGATACGGTCAAACTTTTTTTGGGGATAAGATATCAGTCAAACTTATTTTATTTGTCTCGATCTTACAAAATAGTTTCTTTTGTTCAAAACCATAGTGTCTAATATTCGAAAAAATGCCAGCAATCTTAGAAACCCAGATTTTGTTTGATTTATTTCCCAAATTGTTACCGATTGTTTTGTTAAGGAAAAAGTATTACCTATAGTACGACCAGATAGGCGGTGACATCTACGGTAACAGTTCTGGAGACAGATGGCCGGGATGGTGCCGGTGGTGGCACAACTTTGAATGCACTCTTCACGGCACTCATCAAACGTCACCCCCCTGACATCTTTGACTGCCATTACCATTGCCGCCACAAACATTATCACAATTATTGAATTCCATTTCACATACATTTTGCGTTTTGATTTGTTGCAGAGTCTTTGTATTTAAAATCTAATGAAGAGCTATCCTCTATTAGTCTATTTATACCAAAAAGAAGTCAACAATATTGGTTATTTGTTTTTCTTCTTATAGAAAGAGTATCATTACGAGTCCTCTAATCACTCATTCCCTAAAATTACTTGTGGTAGTCAATATTTGTGTAAAATATCTTTGGTAATTGCCATTACCATTGCCGCCACAAACATTATCACGATCATTGAATTCCATTTCACATACATTTTGCGTTTTGATTTGTTACAGAGTCTTTGTATTTAAAATCTAATAAAGAGCTATCCTCTATTAGTCTATTTATACCAAAAAGAAGTCAACAATATTGGTTATTTGTTTTTCTTGTTAAAGAAAAAGTATCATTACGAGTCCTCTAATCACTCATTCCCTAAAATTACTTGTGGTAGTCAATATTTGTGTAAAATATCTTTGGTAATTTGTTTGCTTGCTCTATTGTTGATTTTTTCTGTATATATTTACATGATTTCTACTCAAATAATATTATTCACACAACTACTGGTATCAGAGCAGGTTATTTGTGTGAGTTTTTATCCACCAATATCTCTATATAACTAACTTTAAGTATATTAATTTGTTTACTAATCCTGTAAAAAGAATTACTCTTTCCATTGAAAGTTTCAGAAAGTTAATGTTATAAACAAGAATATAATAAATTATTTTTATTTTTTGAAAAAGAATACTCTATTTGCGAAGAGGTCATTGACTCGAACAAAGACCCAAACCACCTACACGAGCTGAAGAAAGATCCAATGACATGTTTTAAGACCAGACAAGAAAGTGAAAGCCATTCCAAACATATGGAACCAGAAAAAACCACTCCAATCATACATAACCTCGCCAACCTTCAAGAAGGCCAATCGTACTACACCAAGGGCTTGAGGACTTATCCCCTGACTGTACTTGTACCACTGATGTGAGATTCAAGATTAATTAACCAATAACATATATTAAGGATATTTCTCCAGCCAAACCTCCTTTGGGACGATTAAATTTTGAGTTAGCCAATGAACCCATACCTGGAGCCTTAACCGATCTAGAGAAGGACCTAATTAATGAATTAACTCATCTAAGGCTCGACTCAACCGTTCAGTATGATGTTCATAGCCAACGTAAATTTATTCAGAATACTGCACAAGAAGTTCAAACACCCAAAGAATGCTGAAGAGACCACTCTAAAATCACAAAATGCCTCCGCAATAAACTATCTAGCCGATATAGACAAAATTCGACCTAGGCATAAAACCTGATCCGGAAAAATGCGATTTGGTTGAGGTTCAGTTCTTCAATATAGCCCAAATGGTTCTTGTTCAAATAATCAACAAGGTCTATAAAGTTGATATATCTATAGTTTACTCTTTTTAATAAGGTTTTTACTATTTTTATCTAAGTATTTTTATTTGGTTTTGTGTTTTTTCAGGTAAATTTGCTGTATTTTTAATTTTAAAGTCTTAATAGGTCAAATCATAAAAAATGTTGGAACGGGTCAAAGAGAAGACCACGTCCAAGACATCTTTTCAAGTCCAGAAGATCAGCCAAAAACCAAGAAGCCATGAATGTGGATCTTCAGGATACCTTTCCAGTGATGTATTGCGATGAAATTTTGTTCTTAACTAGAATTTTGAGTCATATTTCATATGAAATCGGTGTAAAGTCAATTGGACCAGCGGTTAGCAAGATACAACGACTTTGCTGAATACATGTCTCAATTTGGCCCAATCTCGGCCCAAACTTGGTTTTTTCTTTAATAAAAGCCTAAAAGGACTCTAGGACTATATATCCATTTTTTAGTCTCATTAATGAGAGATCCAAAATAGAATAAAAATAGCCACGCCATTACAATCATCATACACGATTTCATTAAGTTTTTTCATAGTTTTTCGATTCAAGAACTTCTCGGAGAAGATCTCGCTTTGTATTCGACATATAGATAAGAACCTTTTATCTATCTTATTGTTTTATGATGATGGATGATAAGTAAGGTTTTTAGTCCTTTAGATGGGGTTATCATTCCCTTGTCTCTGTAATACAAAGGGTTATCAATCCAAATATGTGGGTATACACTAGTTCATGATGATACTTTCTTAATCCAAGCAATATGATGAGTTTGGTTTGTGACAAGTACTTAAAATGAAACTAAAACAAGTTTTAAACAAGTGATCAATGAAAATGAAACAAACAAAACAACCAATGACAAGTAAGCAAGATGATAATGATATGATATGATGAAGGAAAGGCCTTAGACAAGATAAATGGTTAGGGTGCTTTGATGCTAAACTAGAGAGCTAAATGAACAAACAATCAAGCAAAACCATTTAACATAGACTCTTAAGTAAGATAATCCTCTCATGAAGACATTAAACACCTATGCTAATCCTCTTTCATACCAAATTTTCATTTGAGAAGCATGAATTAACAAGCATTAAGAATCAGTCTAATAAGTCATTTAAACATTAAACAATCACTCGCATGATGAAAAACATGTAAACCTCTAACAATCTTGGTTCAGGCATTTTCACAAACTCCTTTTGGGTGAGGAAATGCCCAAGATCTAGACCAGAGTGATGTGCAAAGATCTAGCTTTGAGAACAGCTTGTTAGAGAATGGATAATGCAAGATCTAATCTCTAAACTCTCTAATCTAACATCTTAGCACCCTAACATACTCATCTAAGACCTTAAAATGGATCTACTCACTAATCATAGTTAACACATTTGATCTTTTGCAAGGAGTGATGTTAAGCATGATTAGAAGTTTGAATGAGATGGAGAAATAATTTGATGAAAAGAAGTACTCTTAAAATCGATTAAGAAATGAGAGATATCTCTTAGAACCAAAGTCTTTGAAGTAAAGAGGCAAAAGAAACGAAAATGGCATCAAAGATACTTAGGGTTTTTGCCAAAATGGTATTTATAGTTTTCTTAAAGGGAACCGGGTCAGCCCGGAACAAACCGGGTACTGAACCGGTCTTGCTGGGTCTTTGGGTCACACCCTCGGCTTGGACAAGTCCTGTGCCGAGGTACTTATGGCGAGGGTGTCTTGCATCTGGGCTGAAAATGCTTGAACATCTCAAGAACATGCACGGGTCCTTGTCTTTGATCTTCACGTTGATGTGCTCAGGTTTTAACCTTAGTTTTCTGCAAGCGCACAGATGTACGTTGTAGTACTTAGGGGTCGATCCACTGAAGACCAAGTAACTGCAGTACGAGTTTACTTCAGATGAGAACTGAGCTAAGATGAAAATATGGGTGTTTGTTTGGGGGTTGTGAACAGTGACGAAAATAGCAAATAACAAACTTAAAAACAAGTAAACAATAAGATCAAATCAATACGAGAAGGTGTTGGGCGTTAGGGAATTCGCCGGGAATCATAGGCTAGCTAACAAGAAAATTAAACATAGAGTTTTCAATAGGTGTGTTCCTGAAATCAAATCCAGACTAACCTACTCACGTAGTATTAATCACAAATCAATTCACTCAGATTTACTAAACTCCCATTCAGTCCTCTAAGTGCCTAGACAAATTAGTTTGATAATTTCACAAAACGCTTTAGATCGACTCACGCCGTCTAAGAGAATTTGTTCATCTAAATAGGGTTAATCGATTCAACAACACTTTCGGTGAGTAAATCAACCTAATCGCAGTAGCTAGATGGTCGATCCAAGCCACATAAACGAAACGCAAATTTAGACGAAGAACTCTAAAGATAAACTCTAATCTAACAAACCAGAAATCAATCCATGAATCCCTTTGAAACATCCCTTAAAACCCAACAAGGGAATTACTCAATCATAGTGTTTAAAAACATCACAGAAGTATTGTAGTTTGCTGGAAATTAAGTAAGAGAAAGGTAAAGAACGAAGAACAATGAGGAAGATGGAGATCGATGATGGCTCCTTCGGTGACTCCTTCTTCTCCCGAAGACGGCAACTCCGAGGTGTGTGGCTCTCCTCTGCTCTCTCTCCACGACTTGGTCATTAGAATGACCTAAAACGAGTATATATAACCTTCTAATTCGTTGGAAACGTCTAGGGTTTGAAGAATAAGTAGTGGGCTGAACTTGGGCTTGGATTAGGTCATTTTCGGACGTCAACGATGTCTGGCTGCGGTCATGGTGGTCCTGACCGCGGGGAATCATTGTCTGGCCTCGGTCGTGCCCTATGCTCTCCTTCGAGACTGCATTTTCTGTCTTTAGTGCATCGGGAATATCTGAAGATCAAACCGTTGGATTGTCTTAAAACTAATTGCATTAGAAAGCTGATTGTCTCCTCTATGTTGTCTCAAAATTTTGGGGGTGATCAGACGGTGAGATAGTCTTTATCGAGTGTCATACTTCTGACGGTCTGCATTTATCCAAAATTGCTCATTTGTTCTAAATTGCACATCTTTAGTTCCAAGTTTCCTGAAAAGTCTTTTAAAACTCTAAAACATAGAAATCACTTAAAAACATTTAAAACGATCCATAAAAATGGTCAAAATCCGGTGTTATCAACTCCTCTAGACTTAAACATTTGTTTGTCCTCAAACAAAACATAGATCAAGCCAGGAAAGAATCTTTGAAAATCCGCAGGAACTAAAAAATATCTCAGTGACCGTCCTTCTAAACCATAAACTATCGTAAAACATCTATCTGGATCTTGTCTAGAAAATTCTTACCGAAATACAAACATAACTAGTCCGTTGATCCGTTATGCGAAAATCTACACATTTCGATCTAACTTCCAGTAAACTAGCTCTTTACATTCATTAAGTACATAGTGAATTCTCATTAAAGACATCATTCAGGGTAGACGGGGTTTGGTAATTAAGGGCTATTTAAGTGGTGGAGTTAAAGTGTTTCGGGTTACTTAAAGATCTGGAGGAAGCAAGATATTATGCAAAAACGCAAGAGAGAGTGGACCTATTCATGTCCGCAATTTTCAGTCACTTCTCCTTGCCAAATTTTG